CTGGCTCCTGGCCGTCTGCCAGCTGTGCGTTAATGACAGTTAAAAACTATGATGATGTCACAAGGGAGTGGGGATACCCCCGCCCCTTTGTGACATCATCATGTGCTGTGATTGGCCAAAGCATTGCACCTGACCTGTGGTGCACCAGGTACATTACTTTGGCCAATCACAATGCACTGTCAGGGCGCAGGCGAACGGCCAATGTTCAATTTGAACTTATGTTCGACTCGAACATAAAGCCCATCACTAATGACCACATGACTACTTTAGATCAATAGTGCTATTAGTTAACTGTTAATTATGTCACAAGTACCCCTGCCCCTTTGTGCATGTGCAGCTTCACAGTGGGGAAGTGCCCACCTGTAGCTCATTGGCTGGCACTGACAGCTGACTTTCAGGTTTGGCTGAACATAGAAGCGGACTAAAACTAAGAGTCGAACCTAAGCTCGTGCCTAATCTTCTCTAACGTAATAGTAGAAAAAAATGCATAACAAATTTAACAAACCGTAATTGCTGATGGCAGAAAAAGATTATAATAAAGTAAATATATAACAGAATTCTAGTCAGATAAATTGGGGATGAAATGTGTCGGCGTGGTGTCTGGACCTTACCCCCGCCCAATGCACTGCATGGCTGTCCAGCTTGACCTAGACGGAGTTTGCCATCTATGAAAGGCCACACTGCTCTCTATTTTTGGCAAGCGTCAAGTGCAGTTGAGTGACTCTGCTCATCGTCCAGCCAACATGGAGCATAACTAGGATATGTGGCAGCAGTCGACTGTTCGGCCAACGAACGATGGTCTACACACAGTAAGTACCCGTGACCTTTTGTTGTTCTCTAGGTCATATCAACTGTGAAGTACAATTCGCAGGCTGGACTGGAGACACATATAGAGGCTGCTGCATAGGTACTTTGGCATATAAGTTGCACACAGTTCCGCTGGCCTTACCATATACTTACAGCTGTTGTATAAGACATCATCTATAATCACTCACATCTACATCACGGACTGGTGCATATATCACTGGTATACAGCACTGGACTGTGGCTATTTCATGCTATCAGTCTCCTGCATTTGTCTATGGCTGATATTGCAACATCTACAATCTCAATCACTGCTTCTACATTGTATAAGACTGTGATTAATTTATGCCATTAGTCCCCTGCATTGGCTTATGGTACATGCTGCACATATGGTTGCACAGATTCACCGCAGCCTATCTATTCATTCATGACCTGTGGGTCATTTTGCACTCCATGCAGCACTTAGTACCCTAAGATTCTACATGGACTTTATTTAGCAATCACCTGCATTGGATTAGATTGCTCACTCATCTATGCCAGGACTTTAGACCTCCACATCCATTTATATTGATGATGTACTTGTTCTTATATTACATAACACTGTCCACTGTGACAACAGTAGGTCCATATATTGGGTGTATGGAGCATAGGCCTTTTGACACAGTCCCCTGTTTTTCTGCAGTCAGGTTTAGATGAGATGGGCCCCTTAGCTTGTGGTGTTGTGCATAGTGGCCACACACCTGAGACCTTTATCCAGCGACGTTTCCTATTCAATGGCAATATAGAAAGGGGTTGACACTTGTCTCGGTGTTATTCGGAAGGACCTATGTGATGCTATTTGAGGTAGCTTACCATCCTTTGTGTGAGGGGAACAGTAAGGGGTGGGTGGTTTTCCTCAGCTCCTCCTGGGGGGTTATATGGCATATGGCTTTGGGCTGGGGTGGGTTTTGTATTGAGGTGGTCCATAGGGGATGGTGAGATGGGGGTTAATGGGTCTGTGATACTTTTTTACTTATATATTTTTTTGTGTACAAAAACTTTTGTATGAGGAAATAGCCAAATGGGTTTGTAGCCTACTTTCTTTGCTCTATTTACATTATTATGCTTTTGGGCAACACCCCTCCAGACAGTGTTGGTGGCACCTCATTATTATTTTTTTGTACTAAGGGTGGGCTCCCCAGGCAAAATTCTTGTTGTTTTTGTACATTTGGAAGGTTGAATTAGTTTTAGAAAGGATAAATAAGGCAAAAAAGTAACAGTTTTTTTGGTTGCAAAATATTGTTTAAAGGAGAAGTGTGGCTGCCAATTGCTCAGTTCTTAGTCTCCAGTGAGTAGAGAGCGATGACTGTCAATCACTGCTCTCTGCTCTGTCCCTCCAGTGCACACTGGAGTACCAGACTGTAGAGGGGGTGGGAGCAGCTGCGTACCGCTCGGGCTCCAAATCAAGCTTTCAGTGGCGTGCTGAGAGATTGATCCACTTGCTGGTCAAGCATCTGGGTGGATCCATGATCATCCCTTTATAGACTCTGCAAGAATAAAAAATACTTGTTGATTTGCCAGACATGCAGCTCCTATTTTTTCCTATTCTTTCCTCAGTGTCCTCTGCAGTAAATGAAGCCAGAAGCACTCAGCTCTGAGTGTTTATGGTTTCAGAGCTGTCATTCCCTTGCTGCTACAGACATGTACCATGCTAACAATGCGCATTTAACATGTATACCAAAAATTGCTCTAAAGAAGTATTTCCGATAATACAGGAAGAGTGAACGGGATATAGGGCAGCTTTTAAATTTTGACAAGATCAACAGGTATTTATTTGCACTTATTGCAAAGATATTAGGATGGTTCACTTCTCCAAGTAGCTTCCTTAGTTCTAAAAAAAATGTCAGGAATATAACCATGCATTTAAAGCCACACAGATAACTCAGTCATCTTAAAGTGTATTTGAACACTCAAACAAAGGTCAAACTACTGAAACTGAGAAGAAAGTAAACAACAAAACCCAGGAAAAATGGCTATATGTGGGTGACAGAAGGGGGTTTATTTACTAAAGCTGGAGAGTCCAAAATCAGACTCCCTTCTGCATAGAAACCAATCAGCTTCTAACCTCAGCTTGTTCAATGAAGCTTTGGCAATGAAACCTGGAAGCTGATTGGTTTCTATGCAGAAGTGAGTCTGATTTTGCACTCTCCAGCTTTAGTAAATAAACCCCAAGGTGTCAAAGGCCCCCACTTTGCAAACATCCCTGAAACATCCTTTTCAGGGATGTTTGCTCTAGGTTGACACAGATGGCCTTTTTCATGCCTCCTGCAAACCAGTTGTCCTCTCTGTCCAAAATATGATCCTCAATATCCTCAAAAGATTGTTCATTCTCTTTAATGTGTAGGGCACTATGGTGTTTGGATTAAAGTTATTCTAAATCCTGAAGATTTTCAACCGTAACTGCTTCCTGACCGCCCTATAGCAGAACTACTGCTACGAGACGGCAAGGCTGCAAAAAACACACATATATATATATATATATATATATATATATATATATATACAGTTGTGTTCAAAATAATAGCAGTAAGACATCACTAACCTGATCAATCACTGTTTTTGGTAGAAATTATATTTCTACATGGCAAATAATTTACTAGCAGGTGTAGTAGAGTAATAGAAATCCAACAGACCCAACAGTCATGACATGCATGCTGCTGATTCTGTGTAATTGAATCACTAATTGAAAGGGGCATGTTCAAAATAATAGCAGTGTGGAATTCTATTAGTGAGGTCATTCATTCTTTGAAAAACAGGTGGTAATTATTGCCCTTATTTAAGGAAGGAAGGCAGCAAATGTTGTACATGCTGATTACAGTGCATTTCTCTCTGAAATTCTGAGGAAAATGGGTCGTTCCAGACATTGTTCAGAAGAACAGCATACCTTGATTAAAAAGTTGATTGGAGAGGGGAAAACATATAAAGAAGTGCAGAAAATGATAGGCTGCTCAGCTAAAATGATCGCAAATGCTTTAAAATGGCAACCAAAACCTGAAAGACGTGGAAGAAAGCAAAAAACTACCATTCGAATGAATAGAAGAATAGCCAAAATGGCAAGGACTCAGCCAACAATCAGCTCCAGGAAGATCAAAGAAGGTCTAAAGTTACCTGTGAGTACTGTTACAATTAGAAGACGCCTATGTGAAGCCAAGCTATCTGCAAGAAGCCCCCGCAAAGTCGCACTGTTGAAAAAAATACATGTGCTGAAGAGGTTACAATTTGCCAAAGAGCACATTGACTGACCTAAAGAGAAATGGCGCAACATTTTGTGGACTGATGAAAGTAAGATTGTTCTTTTTGGGTCTAGAGACAGTTTGTGAGACGACCCCCAAACACTGAATTCAAGCCACAGTACACTGTGAAGACAGTGAAGCATGGTTGCGCAAGCATCATGATATGGGGATGTTTCTCATACTACGGTGTTGGGCCTATTTATCGCATCAGAATACTTGAAGAGGTCATGCTGCCTTATGCTGCAGAGGAAATGCCCTTGAAATGGGTGTTCCAACAAGACAATGACCCCAAACACACCAGTAAACGTGCAACATCTTGGTTCCAGACAAACAAGATTGACGTTATGGAGTGGCCAGCCCAATCCCGGATCTTAATCCAATGGAAAACTTGTGGGGTGACATCAAAAATGCAGTTTCTGAGGCAAAACCAAGAAATAGAGAAGAACTGTGGAATGTAGTCCAATCATCCTGGGCTGGAATACCTGTTCACAGGGCCAGTAGTTGGTTGACTCCATGCAACACAGATGTACAGCAGTTCTCACAAACAGTGCTTATACAACTAAATATTAATTAAGAGATTCAAAGGAAAGCAAAATCTTCAAACATTTTTCAGTTTATATAGTGAATGTTTGAGTTTGTAAAGAAGAATACAAACACTGCTATTTTTTTGAACAGTCTAATATTCACTTTTCTTCAATTATTTTGGAGAAACAACACAAATTTGATATTTTTCTTCATGATTTGATTTGGAATAGAATGTGTAGTGTTCCCAATGCATTTGTGTGTATGGAAATAAAAGCTATTAGAAGGATTTTGAGCTTTATTCACTTTTTTTCAACACACTGCTATTATTTTGAACACAACTGTATATATACACACATGATTTTGTATTACCGAGCCTCCATTGGCGGCTATAATTGTTGATCACAAAGTCCCTGCTGATGATTCCCTGCTGGCACCCGGCGATCGCCGAGGAACAGTGACAGGGGAGAGACCTGTGTGTAAACAACACAGATCTCTCTCCTGCCAGCAGTAACATGCTGCTGTGTACTTCTCTGCACAGCAGATAAAAACACAGTAGCATGTTTCCCTAGTAAAACACACACAGCTCACTTAGTAAAACAGCACACTGTTAACCCTTTGATCGCCCCAGATGTTAACCCTTTCCTGCCCAGTGTCATTAGTACAGTGTCAGTGCTTTTTATTACCACTGATCACTGTATTGGTGTCATTAGGAGGTCAGCGGCAGTTAGTCAGTTCCCCCCCAGTGTCAAAATGCCCTATGCAATCCCACAGTACAACTATAAGTCCCTGATCGCCGCCATTACTAGTATAAATTTTTTTTTTTTTTATTCCAGTATACTGTATATACCGCCATTTGTAAACGCTAACTTTCACATAAACCAATTAATTGGTTAATTAATAATGTATTGGGATTTTTTACAAACACATGTAGTAGAATAAATTTTGACCTAAATGTATGATAAAATTTGATTTTTAATTTATTTACTGGATAAGTTTTATAGCAAAAAAGTCAAAAATATATTTTTTTTTAAATTGTCAGGGTATTTTTGTTTATAGAGCAAAAAATAAAATAAAAATGCAAAAGAGATCAAATACCACCAAAAGAAAACTCTATTTGTGGGAAAAAAGGACATAAATTTAATTTGGGTGCAGCATTGCATGACCACACAGTTGTCAGTTAAAGTATTGCAGTGCCATATCGCAAAAAATGGCCTGGTCAGGAAGGGGGATAAATCCTCTGAAGTGGTTAAGGTTAATGTTCAGGGTATATGAGGGAACTTTTTTTATTTTTGGCATCAATGCTCTATTGCGGGTTTTCTGCACTGAAACATCTTGTTCCATTATGAGGAACCTCATGAAACAAATCTCTCTCTATATATATGTGCAACAAATCTCTCTCTATATATATGTGCAACTTTTTTTTTGCAGTGAATTATTTATGCATCTGCATTGGTTTTTGTTTTTTTTTTTCTTCATACAAAATGTAAACATGAGCTCTAAGTTTGTGGGAAGAATTTTGGTTGTAATTAAGTGCAAGGCATACGTTGTTTAGAATGCCAAAAGAGATTATGTGGCTGCAGAGAACAATTTGTGACTGTCCCCTGAGACTGCAGTGATAGAACTCTAACCATTACTGACAGTGAGAAACAAGATTTTTATATATGTATAAACAAAATTTACAGTAATTACAAAAAAAAAAGCAAATGTACCATCTTGTTATCCAGAATCTGCTATAAAATCACATATCAGATGGCTAAGAAGACTAAAATTATAACAGTATAACAAACAAAATATTTAATATACAATATATCCTGTGTGATTTGCAGAAAACAATATATTGGAAGCAGGGCCATCTTTAATATTGATGGGACCCTTGGCAAACGTTTTCTTGGGCCCCCCAATGAAATTTTGCTCTCCACTTGCTCTGAGACATACAATAAATAGCAGCTAAACTCAAAATCAGTTTACTGCTGCAGATCAAGCAGCAATTGCAATTGATTGCCGGAGGTTATAGCATATCATTACCGCTCACTGACTAGTGAGGTTACAGAACACATTACTGCTCACTGATTAGTTGCTAGAGGTTACAGTACATGATTTCTGCTTGCTGGTTGGTTGCTAGGGTTTACTGCACATCCTTACTGCTCACTGATTGGTTGCTAGAGGTTACTGCACATCATTACTGGTGACTGGTTGGTTGCTAGAGGTTACTGCACATTATTACTGGTCACTGATTGGTTGTTAGAGGTTACTGCACATCATTACCACTCACCCATTGGTTGCTAGAGGTTAGTGAACATCCTTACCACTCACTAATTGGTTACTAGAGGTTACTTAATTAAGTTTCACTGGTTGGTTGCTGAAGGTCACAGCACATCATCTACTTGCTGCCTGCACACCGTGGACTGAAAAGGTTAGGGGAACCAACAATAGACATAAAACCCCTAGTACTTCTGGAATCATGGGCAGTACTTGGGGGGGGGGGGGGTGTGATCAGTGGCAGTGCTAAGGGGGGAGGATTGATAGGATCAGTGGCAGTGGAAGGGAGAATGGGATGAGTGACAGTGCTGATGGGGGGATGGGATCAGTGGCAGTGTTTAGGGGGAAGGGATCAATGGCAGTGCTTGGAATGCATGGGATCAGTGGTAGTGCTGAATGGGGATGGGAGGTGACATTTCTACATGAATGTTAGGGGTGATTAAAATTGATGACCAATGTAATGGAATTGGCACTAACCAGCAATGTAATGAAGAATTTACACTAACATCCAATGTAACGGGGATTTTACACCAACATCCAATACATTTCTACACTGGCCACCAATGTAAGAAGAAATTTACACTGACCACCAGCAGAGGTGTTGGTGGCTGGAACCTCAGGGGGGCATAATATACTGTACATATGAATAACAAAAATATATCCTCCTGCGCTTTTACGGTAAATGATACACTTAACTAAAAAGCAGCCAGCATCTATCCCATACCAAATAAGGGCAATAATAGAAACACATATAAAAGTGATGCAGCTCTAAAAATAAAAAGCACTCAAAAGATAATATACATAAATTACTGAAAATAAATATATTTTAGCAAACGGGGTAACAGATGACCCAAATCCACATGGGGATATAAAGGAGACAGTGACCCCTAGTACCCAAAGGGTACTAAATGAAGACCAGGTAGGTATCTGCAGGAAAAACCAAACAGATAACAATGGCATGTGTAGAAAATGAGGAGCTTTCCAGATATTTTCACCGTGAAACAAGATTCTTTTCCATTTTTTTCCTGGAGCTGGATGGACTATGGAGGCAGGTAGATGTAAATGGACACACACATGTGTCCATCCAGCTCCAGGAAAAAAAATGGAAAAAAATCTTGGTTCACGGTGAAAATATCTGGAAAGCTCCTCATTTTCTACACAAAGACAAAGCATTGCAAATTAGGTAGCTCCCACTACCACCCAGATTGCCTAGGCGATCCCAGCAGATGTTAGCACGGCTCGCGCATGTCCAGTGGGAAGCTATCTGTGAAGCCATAAGGAGGCAGAGCTGGTTCCCGCAGTAATACACTATGAGGATTGTGTTCTCTTCTTAACTTATGAGCATATGAGCTTTGACATCTGAGGAGGGTGTATTCCGTTTGCCCACTGGTCCGGCTGAATACTGTTCATGTGATGACTGCCCATACCATCCAATCTGAGGAGCCACTGGTTTGAGGGATCCAGAGGTGATCTACATGTGCTTTGTGGCCCTGCGGGGTCATAGAGTGGAGGTGAGAGGCCATTGCAGCCATACTACCTGGGATCACATTTGGAGTGTGCTGTGATTCACCTGCACATCTTAGAAATATGAACTGTGGACACTTTATTTTGCACTAAGCCATTGTTATCTGTTTGGTTTTTCCTGCAGATACCTACCTGGTCTTCATTTAGTACCCTTTGGGTACTAGGGGTCACTGTCTCCTTTATATCCCCATGTGGATTTGGGTCATCTGTTACCCCCGTTTGCTAAAATATATTTATTTTCAGTAATTTGTGCATATTATCTTTTGAGTGCTTTTTATTTTTAGCGCTGCATCACTTTTATATGTGATACTGTACATATGAATGTCGCTGCTATTTACATATGAATGCCATATTGCTGCCGCTATTTACATATGAATGGTGGCATTATTTACAAGTGAATGCTGACACATGAGTCATCTGTACATAGCAATAGGACAGAGCTGGGTAGCATAAGTGACAGCACTTCACACTCAGATATGGGACTCAGCCTGGGACAATGACTTCCAAGCACAAGGGAGTGTAAACCAGTACAGTAGGCAAGTATGGGACAGCTGCTTTGGGCCCCACAACAATGACTGGGCCCAGGGAAGCTGCCCCTTTTGCCCCTCCTTAAAAACAGCCCTGATTGGAAGTAAAACCAGGAGGTTGTGCAGTCATATGAATGTCCATCTGTTTAATATAAACACATGAAATAACACCAATGTAGGGAAACATTTTGTAAATCACCATGGATCAAATACAGAATATCTTAGGATATAATCATAGAAAGAGTGGATCAATCGACAAGAAGGGGTGATCGTTTTTCTCTATTGAGTAAAACAGAAGTATATTGGATCTTTAGGCTCCATGCACACTAGGCTTAAAAAAAATGCTGCTTCTGCAGGTGTTTTGCATTCTGCCTGTAAAAGGAGTTCAATGTTACCCTATGCGTCCATGCATGTTTACAGGCATATTTGAAGCCCGTCATTTGGAACCAAAAAAAACCCTGCATTTTTGATTGGAGCTTACAGGCAGAAAAAACGCTCAACACTCCTAAACTCACCTAAACATGTGTACAAAAAAATGCTCTATATGAGCAGGTTTTCCTTCTGCCAAAGGAACTGGCGTTTTTTAAGCCCAGTGTGCATGGAGCCTAAGGTTGGATACCCGTATACCTAGAGTGATGACAGTTGAATGGGACTTAACAGAATATTATGACTAATATAAATCTCTGATTTCCCTCTTCCCTGAATTGTTCTCAATTTCTGTTTTCCTCCCTCCTTTCTCTTACGCTAAACAAAAAGTTGCCTTAAGTGTCCTGACATGGGTTTTTTAGGGCTTCCTCACACGGGTCTGGCTACTCTTTAAACATTCTTTTGCTTCTGCTGTATGATGGGACACCTAGCTAAAAGGCGGGAAGCCTCACTTTCGTCATTCACTGAGTGCCCTGCTAGTAATGCGGAGTCATGTCAGAGCTTACAAAGAGTTTCAAAGAGAGCAAATTGTTGGTGCCCACTTAGCTGGTGCCTCTGTGACTGAAGTTGCCAATTTATTTGCGGCATCATCAGATACAGTATCAAACATTATGACAGCATATACAGTTTCCAGGAAAACATGGTCTGATAAGCATAAGCCATGGTCAACTCACCGAAAGAGACAAAAAGACATTGCACAAATTGTATGGAGGGAACTCCATAAGTAAAACATTCATTGGCGAGCTGCAGTTACCAAACCGCCAGTGACTGATATTATTACTCTGAAGAGAAGAGAGTGGTGTAACACCCTTAAATCGTGGACTATCGATCAATGGAAGACTGAAATATGATCCAATGAATCAAGCTTCACACAGTTCCCAACTGTCACGGACACACGATCGCCACCCTCAACATGCGACGATCGCACGACCGCGACCAACAATACGTCACGCCTGCGGCGTCAGACCCCAGACCTTCTCACCAAACTCGTGCCTGAAGGACCGGCCAATCCAGACCATGATGCGACGTT